TAACTTGTTCCATCGCTTAGTATTTTACTGTGTTTTATAATTTACTTTTTATTTCGCATATAGCCTAATATATTACCTCATTCAATTTGATTAGTTTTTTGATACTGTGTTAAAATTTCCGAAAATATTTAACATATAGATTTTTATTCGAACTTGTAAATAAAAAATTTCTTCCTTTTCACACTAAAAATTGCATAATTAAATTCCTAATAGTGTAAAGGTAGCTATAGTCATTATGGAGACTATTGTTATTCATAACTACTGAAGATGCATATGTTGGAGTTTTCTTGGAGCCACAGCTTTTGGTAACTTTTTGGCGAGCTAACTACAATTTATCTTCTCATTTCCTTAACTTTGCAGCACATTGCGCAAAAAAATTTTGACCAAAATTGGTCTTTTTTGTATTGTTCTTACAACTTTACTTATAAAATCTGATATATATATACTAAGTCGCGCTTTCGAGGCATGGAAAACGCAATTTGTATTTCGTCAATAGGTCTAGTAGAACAGGACATATAAAACTGTCAATTTTTCGCAGTGTACATATTTTAAAGTTATAGACTTCCAATACTATTAGAATTTTTATTTCTGTGAAACATACTTATAAATATTCTACGAAACAAACTTATGTTATTTAAATCTACTTCTAAAATATTTTATTTTGATTCAACCCTAGGTCTGGAAAAATTAATATTGCTGATATTCAAGAGCGGATAAATGTATGTCATCCTTAACTGACCAAAACATGTAAAATTAGTAAGACAAAAATAGCAGCTCAGCGTAAAATCTTGTCAATTTTAAGAATTAACTAACATAGATCCTTCTTCTTCACTAAAGAACAATGGAAAAGAGCTTTTATTTCTGGCTTTTTAAAGCGCATATACCTGATAATTAAAACAATTGATGAGAATTTTTCAACTCTGGATTAGCCTAAGCTTCTTTGCTTTGTTTTATCCTTTAATTTCATAGCCTGTCAAAATTTTGAATTTTGCACCAACTATGTTTTTGAGAATCTGGAACCACAGATCGATTCGCCGTGTACAGCTGAAAATGCCCAGGTATGGCTGAAACAACTCCAAAAGAGTAAGTTACTGAGAAACAAACTTAAAACTCTCATAAACTACTTGGCAATGAACTGCGAAAAATCTTAAAAGCAATCTAGAATTTAAAAAAAAAAAAAAAAAAAAAACCTCAGCGTCTTTTTCAGTTATCAGGCAGACTAGACATAAGTGAATTGTAAGCGAATTGCAAATAAGTGAATAACACAAGTGACTACTATGAATGTGACTAGCAAATATTACACAGGACCACTTCAATTATGTGAACAGCACATACGATGTACATTAATGTACCCAGTTGATATTGTTCAGTATAATGCATCAGAATATTTTCTTATATCCAAGTTACCACTAACTTCTAGCGTAAACGTTCTCTGTAAACTCAGAATCACATTGCATGAAACATTACTAAAATCTTTATTCAGCACAGCCAGTGACTTGACAGGGTCTCTTCAACAACCACAAGTCACAAACACCCATCTTCCGAAGTAGCTTTATAAATTTTGCTTCGAATTTTAATATTCCGAACAGATTTTTGGCTGGGCTTAGCGACAATAAAATGCTCTACCAATTGAGTACAAATGCTGATAAGATACAGCAGCTCAGCTGGTGGTAAATAAATAAGTAAGAGTTTACAGTTATACGTTACGTTTGCAATGACTCTACATGAAAAATATCTATAAATTATATTTTTCCAAAGCTTTAGAAAGTGGAAACAATGTTCTCATTAAATTCTTTCCTTCTTTGTGAGGAAATCAACTTTTTTCATTATCAATTAATTCTACAAAGGAAATGAACCTGCTTGACAATTACTCTAAGTTGAAAGTGTCTTGAAATTTCTCTAGATGTCTTCAAATGTAGCTTTGATATATGCAAGTAAAATCTATTTAGCCTGTTCTTAGTACTAGTAATATTAGATTTTTGCAACATTCAATTAGAAGCAAAAAGTCCATTATGATATCTTCAGTGGTGAACTGTAGGAGATTTGTATAAGCCCCTTGTTAAATTTGTCTCGAAACTGCTAATTCCGTGTTATTCTTGTTTGCTTATTATTTATTCCAGAAAAAAACACATATCTTGAATGTTGTAACTTTACTTTAACAAACATTAAATTTTACATTAAAGCATGAAATAAAAATAAATTATTTTGGGCTTTTCATTGAGATGACTTTAGCATGAAAATTGCATAATTAAATTCCTAATAGTGTAAAGGTAGCTATAGTCATTATGGAGACTATTGTTATTAATAGAGGTGAAGTAAACAGGATTTCAGCTCGACAAACAGTATTTCCACAATATTATCTTCTTTTACTAACAATAAATTTCAGATTTAAAGACAATCTTAAGTGGGGAAACCTTTAGAAGAATGTAAAAACTTTTCAGAAAATCTCTGCTTGGTTCTTAAAATCTTATAAAAGATTAACTGAGATGAGTGAAGAAAATAGTGTGTAATAACTTCTGAAAATAGTGTTTCGCAACTTAATGTGCATATGATGAGATTCAGTCGATATGTTTTGTTACAAATTTTTTCATGCACATTATTTGTAGGTTATGTTTTTGTCAAAATTAAAAAATTTAATTATAATTTGGTGTTTTATTTTTAGGGTAATAAATTTCGAGATATTTGCTAATATTTTCATAGCTCACCACTGGATATCTGAATCATAATTTTATATACATTAATAAATTTGGCAAATACATCAGATTATGCAGCATAATATGAATATTTTAAATTCTTAACATCTGTCAATTTTAAGTTTTTAAAACTAAACCTAGCCCTAACATGTTTTTCTTTTGAATTTTGAAAAAAAAAAAAAAAAAAAAAAAAAAATGATTAAAATATGGGACTTGCCTTCTAGAGAACAGCAAGCAGTGGAGAAATTTCAAAGCTTCAGAATTGTTATACAGATGATGTGCATGCTAAAAATATTATAAGGATTTATTTAGTTTCATTAACCAGTTATTTATGTGAATTACATTTACTGTCTTTCTCGCTTTCCGTTTTCCTGCTAGTAGGCTAATTTCTAGTTCGTGCGTATTCAAACGAGGCAGAGAAAGATGGCATTTAAAGTAAGGGGGTTAAAAGTATGTTTTGTAGAATCTAAACCTTTCCTTTAATTACCGTCTCTTTCTACCTCATTTGAACACTAGGGGGTCGCCTGCTGAAGGCCACGTTACCGGTTTAATCTCTTGCTAGCACTTTATCTGACGTGTTGCGTTATTCTCGCCAATAAGCTTATCGCGTCGATATTACGTCCGAGCCAACTTGCGCGCGTTTAGTCTGTGTAGTCTTTGGGCTATGTTGCGATTTACTTTGTTAACCAGTTAACTGTGGCGGCCTCGTTTAAGAGTGCGCACCGTTTTGTGTCGCCAGAATCGAGCCATGATGAGTATATTCGTTAATCACAGGGTAAGTTGCGCTGGTAAGATATTGGATGAAAAAGATGGGTTTATTTTATAAAATTGAAAATTTTATTACTAATATTTACTTATTTGGTTAACATAAGCATATATTACATACATATTAAACTATAAACGCAATATATTAAATTAAATATTATGAGAATTTAAATTCCTGCTGGAGTGATATTCAGCGAAACAGGGTATTATATACAACGGGACTTTGCAAATCGAACACCAGTAACGCGATTCCTTCCTGATCTTACGTTTGTAGCAATGCGATGTTTTTTTTTTTTTTTTTCGGGGGGGGGGATATTTTGGGTATATAATCCGGAATATGATTCCCGCCTAATTGGCTTATATTACTTCTAAATGGCCGAGTTTCTGTCGATTTATTTCTTTCAATTGGATACGTCGCAAAAGTGTCTTCAATCAATTTGAGCAAAACGTTGATACGCGATAATGTTCCATTTTTTTTTTTTTTTTTTTTTTTTGTTTTTTTGTTGTACAATATGAATGCATTCAGACACATAATGTCTAAGAAATGGAGAAATGTCTTCTTGTAGTACTTTTTGAGTTGTTTTCTTGCTGGGGAGTACGCTATGATAATTCCATCGCTCATATCCACTCCACCCATTCTTTATTATAATCAATCACTAGCTCCGGTTTCTTTATTATTTTTCTTTCTCTGTTTCTATTACGTTGTCTTCATGTACAGTACTTATTAAATAAACCTCCCTCTTATCTTTCAATTTCATTACACGCATGACGAGTATACTCGTCAATATACAAAATCATGCCGCTTCTCCATGATGAGTATACTCGTCAATCACAGTTAACTGGTTAAGTTAAATTCTTTAGAGTTACACCTTAAATGTTTGCTGGCTGTGTTAGCACGAGCGGCGCTTTCTGTTAATATAGTGATTTTGTTCGGAAAAATGGCGCAATAAAAGACATTGCGGAACAGCCGAACACCACTCAGATTCGTATTTAAGTGAATTTAGATGGCATCGAGTTCATAAAGATGATGACAATTTTGTTGTTATTTCATATTCCATTGGGAACTTTTGACTGACGATAAGAATGGCGGTAGTTTTAATGAATTTCTTTGTCAAGTGATCTCAGACATTCAGCTCGTAGTCATTTAAGAGTTAATGCGTCATATCCGTAACTTATCCGTAACTTATACTGTTTATTTAATTAGAGAATCCGCTGATTCTCTAATTAAATAAACAGCGATCTATTATTATCTAACTATTAAAGAAACAGCAATGTGTTCTTTCAAACTTCCACCGGAATCGTTGGCACAATTTTGATGAGATGGCCGCCCACTGTGACGGTGGACGGGAAAATACGTTAAGTTCTAGTTATGATTTACAATGATTGTTATTATATGCAGATTTTTTGTCTACAACGACATCAAACAATATTTTCTGTACCAAAAAAAACTTAAATTATTTTTTTATAGTTTAAGAATATAAAAATATTAATTTTTTATCAAAATGTACTCGTACGTTTTTGGAATGCAGTCACGCTAAAGGCTTCGAATGAATAGAAAATTTATTCACAGTTTTAATGGCAGCAAAAACACAACTAAAGCATATCAGAACATAGTTGGACAAAGCATAAAATAATCACAGACAAAAGTCTTCGAGGATTTTCGGCCAAACCAGCTTCTGTCCTCAGTTCTTCCTTGCCTCCTATGTCCTCTGGTTTAACTCTCGGTGATGCTGAGGGTCTGGATAAAAAGAGCCAAATTAGAGCTCGTTGACGGGGGGACATACGGAGTAGGGAAGAAACGGGGGGACAAGGCATGGTCGAAAATCCTCGGGGAGCTGAGGACGTCAAGAGGTCAGGAATTGGTTACTTGGTAGGTCCACCACACTCTACGTAGAATTAAAGGGTTTCATAGGAAAAGAAAACCAAAAACCAAGCAAACCCAAACAGGAAAAGGTTGCAGATTGATTTAAAAGTAACAAAATTATACATTTTATATGTAATAACTTATGGTTGACAACTAAAACTAACCAAATGAGAGTTAGGGGGAAAAAAGTACTTTTGCAATACAGACGCTATTCATATTCGTTTTATTTTATATCTGAAAAAGCTTGACAAAATTAATAGAGTTAAACTGTGAAGCTGTCACTTAGTGTGCTTAATGCTGAAGGAAAAAGGCTATATTAAGGAGTTGTTTAGCAGATTCTGCCGTACCTGAATACAGTATCTATGCAGAAACTATTAAGATTTCTTTGTTTGATTACTTGTTAGTCAGGTTTGTAGTCTATCCCTTAATAAGTAGAATCTGTGAACTTTGAGCGAGGTAACGTTCATATGATGTGTACTTGAATCACCGATTCAGCCAATGTTATGAAATAATGAATTGAGTCAACGTATTCAGTCTGTATAATATGAAAGATACAGGAGGAAAATTGAGTCAATGTATTGAGTCTTTATACATATCAATATGCAAGATATAGGAGGAAAATTGAATCAATGTATTGAGTTTTTATACATATCAATATGAAAGATATAGTTTAGTTTAGTTTAGTGACGGAGGACGTGGGCACCACCCCTTTACCATTATGAAAGATATAGGAGGAAATTGAAGAATTAGAGAAATTTACCTTTTAAAACGTATGAAAACGAGTTGAAAAACCTCATGGACTGGCTAAAGGACCCAACAGAATTTATAAACTGTCTTTGGAAACGTATGAAAACGAGTTTAAAAACCTCATGGACTGATTTAAATAACGAATCTAACGGAATTTATAGCCTAATGGATTAGAATTCTGACGGAACCTAATTCTGGGCATACTGAGACTCTGTAACGAAATAATAGTATGAAAGATATAGAAGAAAAACTGAAGAATCAGAGAAAGACAGTCTTTGAAAACTTATGAACACGAGTTTAAAAACCTAATAGACAGATTTCACTAACAGACCCAACGGATTTTATAACCTAATGGAACTTAACCGACCCTAATTCGGGACATCTTAATTCAGTAACGAAATAATATGAAAGAAATAAAAAAAAACTGAAGAATTAGAGAAATTTAATCTATAAAAATGAGTTTAAAAACCTTAAAGACTTTTACTGACAAACCGAACGGATTTTGTAACCTTATATACTGGAAACCTAACGGACCCTAATTCTGGGCATATTGAGTCTGTAATGAAATAATATGAAAGAAATGGAAGGAAATTGAAGAATTAGAGAAATTTAATCTTTGAAAACTAGTTTAAAAACCTAATAAACTGGTTTTACCAACAAATCTAACGGATTTATAACTTAATGGACTGAATATCTAACAGACCCTAATTCTGCGCATATTAAGTTTGTAACGTAATTATATGAAATGAATGGAGGAAAACTAAAGAATTAGAGAAATTTAATATTTGATGACTTGTGAAAACGAATTTAAAAATGGTTTTATTAACGGACACGAGTTTAAAAATGGTTTTATTAACGGATCTAATGGATTTTATGACCCAATGGACTCTAAACTTAACGGACTCTAAATCTAGGCACAGGAATAATAATCAATATTCACGAAAACTTGATTGAGTCATTCTTGGAGCAAGAAAGAGGAAAATAAAGGCAATCAGCAACAAAAAGACGATCGAGAATTCTTTTGGTGAAATTCTTTTAACTCTGAATCTTCCGATGCTAGCCGAACGTGTTTTCCAATTACACGTTTAAGACAAGCGGTAAGGGAGAAATTTCCTTACAAACTGAAATAAAATTTTATCGCTAAAATAACCCATTGGATTCCGAAGACAAGATTCAATGGTTAGGCTATACACTCAAGGGTAGACCGGTAACAAAATAGCTTTAAAAAATATCAGCTGGATCAAAATCTGAAATAACAGTTAGAGTTATACTTGTATCGCTTACATAACAGTGAGAAATAGATAATAAAGAATGGAACGTTCGCTAAAATGTCTGGCAAAAAGTGAAATGTATGACAATGATATTAGACTAGAACAACTCGAAACAAATATCATGTACAATATTAGCTACCTAACTACTAAAAAGGTGTGACCAAGAAAAATGGGCATTAAATGAGGTACATTTTTATAAAAATGAAACTAATTTTTCATTTAATATAATTCTTTTAGACATTGTTAGAATGCACAAAGACAGTAGTAAATCTTAAAAACCAAAGAGGCTGTGAGTCAGCTCTCATTGTCAAGCTATTTACTGACACCGATATTTCTAAGGGTCTTTCCATTTTTATCTTTCTCACCGAGGGTCGAAAAACCGCTCTTGGCGTGACTTATTCTTGCTGCATCAGCTTCCATTTGCAGAGCGGATGTAGATTTAAGACAGCCGTATCTACAAGTGGTCTCATCAAGTTTGTAAATGATGATAACCTAACTTTAATCGGCTGTGTTGTTGAAAGCGAATCCTGTGTCGTGAACTAAATAAGAAGTTAGCAATAAGGAATCTGCATGGTTAAATGTTATTATTCCAGTGCTCGGTAAATTAAATGAATGATTTAATCTTGCTTGCTTGCTTAGGTTTGGAATAAATTATTTTTTTAAACCTCCATGTCTTTCATTAATCGGTAATATGGATTTATTTATCTGACTGCCATATCGAAGGTTCCGAGTTCGAATACCGGAGATGACACGGATGTTTGTAAACGTATAGTGTCTGCGCGGCATGGAGACAGTCAGCCGAAAGACGTTTTGGAAGTTAGTTGATGGTAGGGGAAGAAAGTGGAAGACCTTCGGACACGTACCGCACTCCCCCGGGATTCTCTCTCTTAAAATTTGAGCTAAAGTCGGTCTGTCACCTGCATGGTACTCAAGGCTCTTGCCAAGCAGAGACTCATTTCACACCTTGATAAGGTGAATATCGTGGGCTTGTTCCGACCATTATCAGATAAGTGAGATTGTTACAATAGCCTGGATATATTTTGAGCTAAAGAAAGACTTCTGTCAAATTTCTTATATTTGTTTCGACAATTTAATGCTTTTCTTCCCTTATCACTTTCTGCAAACAAATAAACTACCTGACTCAAAGTGGATGGAATATACGTAAAGCAACTCTTCAAAGAATTCTGAATAGAAAGTATCATAATTAGACTAAAATGTTTAAAATTGCCTTTATTTGCAAAAAGGGCCGAGAAAATACCTCATTTAGGTGACTAAGAAATTAATAGAATTTTAAAGGAAAAACTTGAGGATATGGTTGAAGTAAATACATTAAAAAGTGGGTGTTTCAGTCACAAAGACAAAGATTAGTTTCAAACACCGTTCGATTGGAACAGGAGTCTTGGGAAAATGTGCCCATGTGACATGATGTGTCTAACATACTAATACTTTGAAATATCTTGTGCTCTCATTATTCCTTACTTAATAGCATTTATATGAACTTTATTTAATTTTTTTTGCTTTATTATGAGTTATAAAAGGTTACTATTTGAAACTAAACAGTTATTTATATTTTCAGCCTTTATTATAACGCCTCCTTTCCGTTTCCACACCAGAATGCAAATCGGTTAGATAGTCTATTTAAGCTGAGGTTTTGGGATTTTAAGATAGAGCGTGTTTCTATTTCTCGAAGCACCGTTACTTTAGTTCTCTCATCCCACTTTTTAATGTATTTACTTCAACCATATCCTCAAGTTTTTCCTTTAAAATTCTATTAATTTCTTAGTCACCTAAATGAGGTATTTTCTCGGCCCTTTTTGCAAATAAAGGCAATTTTAAACATTTTAGTCTAATTATGATACTTTCTATTCAGAATTCTTTGAAGAGTTGCTTTACGTATATTCCATCCACTTTGAGTCAGGTAGTTATTTGTTTGCAGAGAAAGTGAATAAGGGAAGAAAAGCATTAAATTGTCGAAACAAATATAAGAAATTTGACAGAAGTCTTTCTTTAGCTCAAAATATATCCAGGCTATTGTAACAATCTCACTTATCTGATAATGGTCGGAACAAGCCCACGATATTCACCTTATCAAGGTGTGAAATGAGTCTCTGCTTGGCAAGAGCCTTGAGTACCATGCAGGTGACAGACCGACTTTAGCTCAAATTTTAAGAGAGAGAATCCCGGGGGAGTGCGGTACGTGTCCGAAGGTCTTCCACTTTCTTCCCCTACCATCAACTAACTCCCAAAACGTCTTTCGGCTGACTGTCTCCATGCCGCGCAGACACTATACGTTTACAAACATCCGTGTCATCTCCGGTATTCGAACTCGGAACCTTCGATATGGCAGTCAGATAAATAAATCCATATTACCGATTAATGAAAGACATGGAGGTTTAAAAAAATAATTTATTCCAAACCTAAGCAAGCAAGCAAGATTAAATCATTCATTTAATTTACCGAGCACTGGAATAATAACATTTAACCATGCAGATAAGTTTGAAATTATTCGGCTTTGTGTTATTGCTGCCGACATTTCAATCGGTGCGCCGGTTAGAGTTTTCTAGCTTAAAAGTGAATAATAAATGTGTAATATTTGACTTCTAGTCTACGTTTAAATTTGAATCTGATTGTTACTTTAGTTACATCGCCACAAATGATGGTCGATCTTGTTAGCAGAAGACAGGCCCTTACGATACACATTCTCTTTTAATGAAAAGGTCCTTTAAACCTTTAAGTTTCAAACACAGACATAATTTACTTTACGTCTGTTAGGAGTTTGGAACTAGTTTATGCTCCCAAAGAAAGACAAACTCTATACAATTGTTATCTTTTAAACTTCATAATTTTTACTGGATT